TTGCATAAATAGCGCCAAATAAATTACGACGAAAAAAGAATCGTATTACTTCTGGCAACTGTGTACAGTGAAAAAAAAGTCAAGTCGTACCTAGAATACCTGAACAGACGCGTTAACACACAATATGTTTTTCTTCCATCTGAACAGAGCGACAACAACTTGTCCAATTGCTTTGACCAGTACTGCTTCGATTGGCGGTCAGCCTACTGGCGATCCTAACATTCGTTTCGTTTCCTGAAAGCATAGCCATCTTAATAGCGCTCTCGAATAAAGCAACTGTCGTTACTTTAGCCGTTCCGGATTGTCTTTGGAACCTTGCCAAGAATATTATCATTTTTGGAACATGCCGTGCTTCGCAACAACAAGGAATAATAAACTACGACCGCTAGAAAGGAAGTTCGACTCCTTGGCACATGCCAGTACCAATTTATCAATGCAATTACTAAAATTCGATGCGTCTCCCACTTTTGGGCTCGAACTCAAGTTGCGAAAATCGTTTGAGCTGCAAATTTATGCAAATGCAAAAGCACATATTGTGACGACACGCACGGTGCATGTGTGTTTGGGTAGGTGTACTTGTGTGTGTGTGTGTGTGTGTCTGTCTGTCTAGGTATTTCAATTGGACGAGCGGAACTCCGAAGTTTTCCAGTGAGTTCCCTGATCAAGCTCCATCCCGAAAACGTGATACCAGCTTTCACACATGCTTCGGTCCCACATATGAGCACGTGAGAGTTTTGACAATAACTGCTAACTTTAACCAGGAAAACTGAAAAACCGAAATTCCGAAATGATATTTCCTGTACAGGTGCAATTTAAAGATTTCAAATTCAGTTTCCATCGACGTCTACTTCCTACGTATGAACGCATGAAATTTTTTGCGGGAAAATTGCTAACCCGAAAATCAGAATAGCTAAGTCATTTTCCATGAATGACCGGTCACCGAAAATTCATTTTTTTTTCATGCAAAATTTGCAATAATCAACGATAATAAGTACACGAGTTAAATGTAAATTAACAACAGTGTACATGACTTGACTGTTTTAAATTTAGCGCAAAAACTTCTCTGTATCCAGATTACGGTTAGCGTAGATTCCTCAACTTACTACATCCTCTTTTGATTTTTCTTTATAGTATGACCAAAGTAATAGTGACTTAAAGGACTAAGAAATTTTGCACTGGTTGCCATTCATTTCCTAATGATTCCTGAATCGAAAAAAACCTATTCAAGAAAAATTTTGTTGCGTCTCTTCTCTATAATGCCCTTCAAAAAAGAGGACTAAATTTTGTGCCCCGAGATCTCGTCGTCATCATCAGGTCTTGTCCTCATAAGCAGCAACTATAATGGCTTCATCATCTCGTCCTTCGCCTGCTCGTTTTATTTTGCTAATACGCTTCCGCCTGATGCCTTTGATTAGAATTTTCCCTCCCTCTACTGTTTTTTTCCCGTCCAGGGAATGCTTTAATTTTATTTTTTAAGTGAAGAAAAGGCAAGGCAAGAGATCGAGCAAACGGTGTATCATTGGGACCAAACTTGGCATGTCATCTTCTCTTGCAAAATTTCTGATGAC